CTGGAGCGTGGACATTCCTGCCCCGGGCCCCGAGGACAACATCTGATACGATGGGGTCGCCACATATGTTGCTCGCACTTTGGGGTGGATTCTGGCCCGGCCGCGTCCCTAGGTCACCTGCGGGGGCGCGAGGATATGCGAGGATAGTCGCGCTTCGGGCGTCGCGGCCTGGGCCAGGGCAGCAGCCCCGCGGCCGCGCGAGGGCGCGAAGATAACCGCGCGGCGCGCATCGCGTGGCGCGATGCGCGAAAGTGGGTGGCCCGGAGTCCGAAGCAGGGTCGGGCCGTGGGCCAGCTTGGATCAGGGTGTGCCTCCAAGGCCACGAGTACACGAGGCCCCTGGAGCGCGTGGTGGCGCAGCACGCCGCGGAGCGCGGGCAGACGCACGTGCTGCTGGAGGGCGACTCCCTGGAGATGCTGCCCCGCTTCCAGCACATCGACTTCGACATCATCTCGGGGAACAAGCAAGGGCATGAACACGGTGGCCAGCGTGGGCCCCGAACAGTGTGCTGCTAGTTTTCTATGGTGTACTGCCTACGTGGAGATGACATGGTGTAAAACCCATGGCTGTCTTGAGAATTCGCAATCGCGCGAGAGCCAACTTGGTTTTGGAGATTCTTACTGCGAAGCCATGTGTTTTATTTCTTTTCGAGAAATCTTTACGAAAGCTAAGATTGTTGAATAATTCTGGCATGCGCAACCGACGACGCGCGCGCGTGCGTTTCGCGCAGGTTTTCTTTGTTGCGAGGATTTCTTGACAATGATTGTTTTACAAACTAGTGCGCGCGCATTGTTTTTTTTGCAGAGGACGAGGGGGGCAATGCCGGCCTGCCTTGGATGGTACGCGTTCGTATTTAGGATGGACGATGGGGCAGAATCGTGTGTACATTGCGATACGAAAAGGGGGGGCCGTTCAATCCGGGTGGGGATGGGGGGAGGCTAGATGCGAATCTTCTTGTTTCAGACAGGAGAACTGATTGAAAAGAACCTGGAGTTGACAGCTCCACTGCTCGCGCAATCATCCCAACCACCCGCCCGCAACTTGGTTTGCGAAACATATGCGGCAGCAATTGCGATGACTGCTCGGCGCTGGCCGGCGCATCCCCGCAGCCGCGCTCGCGCGCGCAAGCTTGCCCGCAGAGCAGTCAGCTAGTCTGGCGCGATCGACGCGGTCGCGGCGGCGTTGACGGCTCGGGATTCCCAGCGCATCTCGCAGGCCCAGCTGGCGCGCAGAGCATTCAGTGCGAGTCGGTGCCACGTGCGGGCGCGATACCATGACGGCGTCGGCAGTGGCAGAAACGATGGTGGTGGTAGCGATGCTCTGTGATAGGGTGACTTTTGCCGCTGCTCTGTGATAGGGGTCCAGGGCAGTGGCTTTCTTGCCTGGGCGTCATGCCGTCTCTGGCGTGCCTTCGCCCCGACTGAAAGAGAACCCTAGAGAGCCCCGCAGTGGCCCCCCCCCCAAACAAAAAAAAACGATGATGGTGGTAGCGATGTTGGTGAGGATGATGACGATGACAACGGCAGGGCCAACGGCGGCGCCGGTGCTGATCACGCCGGTGACGATGATGGTGTCCACGTGTCGGTGATGAAGGTCTGGGAAGGATTCCGACATTCTTGGAGGGGTTTCGACATGCGCGGGCAGCCGACGGGCGCGAGTGCCCCACATTGCATTACACATTGCAGAATTTGGCAGGGATCGCGCCCCCCCAAACAAGTGCGCAAGGGCAACGATTTCGGCACGGGCGCGCCAGAGACCCGCTTGGTCGCATGTGATGGACATGTTGACACCGACGGTTTCCACACGGATTCGCAAGAGCACGCGCAAATGTTTTTGAAAGATCATGCTGCAACACGTTTGTTTCTTTAGTGTTTTCGAAAGCCTTGGTTTTGAAGTCCTTGCGAAACCTACGGTGTTCGAAGATTGTCGGCATGCTCGCGCGACGACGCGCGCTTGCCGACTGTGCCATTTTTCCCCAAGGGACTCCTGACAATTGATGGTTTTTGAAGAACGAATGCGCGCGCATACTATCATTTGGCAGGGATGTGTGGGGGGAGTCGATAAAGGGTTTGGCTGGGGCGGGGCGAGTTCTTATTGCAGAATCATATGTACCCAGACAGGGTGGATGAAGCCATGGTGGTGGTGGTAGATCCGAGTTTCTCTGAAGCAAGGATAATATATGTGGTGCAGTGTCTGTTTTGAGATATATGCGGCGATCTGGCGGTGACGGCGACTACATCGTCGCCAGAGCGGCAGACAGGCCCAGACGTTGGGCGGCGACGAGGCGGCGACGGGGCGGCGACGGCAGCTACATAGCCGCCAGAGCGGCAGACAGGTCCAATTCCTGACGAAACGACTAAGAAAACGAGCAAGCACCCCTAAGTGCAAGCATTGTTTGGGACATGAATTTTCGGAGGTCCACTCGGATTTCATGGATCGGCGCTGGAACCCCTTGGCGGCGCCCTCGGCGCCGCGCCTGATGCTGGAGGCGCGCCAGGAAAAGGAGGGCGCCTCGCCGATGCGAGCAATCCGCGGGGACCTCCGAAAGTTCATGCTTATGCATTCATTGTACTGTTCTTTGGTTCCCCGATCATCTTCATCGACGGCAACCACGCCTACGAGGCGGTCGCGATGGACTTCTGGAACTGCCTGTCCATGGCAACGCCGGACACGCGCGTGCTGCTGAATCACGTCTTCACCGACATGGAGGCCGAGAGCACGGGGCCCACCCGGGTGTGGCTGGAGGCGCTGGAGGCTGGGCGCGTGAGGCAAGAGGGCTGGCACTCGTGCTGCGGCCGCCACGGCATCATGATCGGCCGGTCCCTGCAGACACAGAAGGGCAGCGTCGGCGGCGCCGGCGGCGGCGCCGCCGCTGCGCCTCCGTGACGAAAAAGTCAGCGGCGCCGCTCGTCGCCGCCGTCGCCGCTTGCCGCCGCCGCCGCTCGCCGCCGCTGTTCGCTGCCGCCGCTCGCCGCCCACGCCCGCTGCCGCTGCGCCGCCGACGCCGCTCTGGCTGCCGCCGCTCGCTGCCGCTGCGGCCTGCCGTTCGGGTGAGCGAGGGTCACGATCGGCCCCTCGCCGGGCGGGACGGTCGCGCCCCGTCCGCTGGCGCCGGCGCCGTCGGCGTTGCTGCTCCCGCCCGACGCCGCCGACCCCAGCGCTGAAGCTGCTCTGCCGTTCGCCGCTGCCAACGCCGCCAGCGCCGGCGCGGTGTCTTGGTCGGCTCCGAGCGGGATCGCGCGCGGGCCGCGGGGCCTTGGCTTGACCCCGCTTCCCATGTCCTCGGGCTGCAGCGTTCGAGGTTCGGAGGGCCAGAGGCCTTTGGGGCCGCTTGCATCGCCCCGCCGCAGATGCTCTCCGCGCTAACACATGCAATGCGAAGCAGAGCTTCGCTTCTAATCACGGGTCGCAGTTTTGGCGCTTTGGGTTGGGACCCCCCCGTGGACCTCCTCCAAACTTTCCAGCCTCGCAGGAGTCCTACTCCAAAGCCGAAACGGCCAGACGCAACGCTGAGGTGGTGAGGTCCCCTCTGCTCTCCAAGCGCTTGTAAGCACACGTGCGGTTTCCCTGCTCGGTGCCCCGCTGTACTCGTCCGTACTCTGCATGGCTGAGAACTTTATATACATTCCTAGCAGGGGTGTCAGCTCATTTTAGGTCACCCGTGTGGGCGTCATAATCGCGCTTCGCGGCCTGGGCCGGAGCGGCTGTCCTTCCCCAGGAGGGGGGGGGGCAGCGCGAGGATGCGAGGAAGCCCTCGCGTCGCGCCTCGCGGGGCGCGGTGCGTGAAGCTTGGTGGCCGCGCGTCGCGGCCTTCGCCGAAGACCCTTCCCCTCTCGTCCTTCGCCTGCCACTGGGGGTCAGCTTATTGGGAGTCAGGGAAAGGTATAGTGCCGTTTTTAATACATGCTCCGCGTGCGGACCATGTATTAAACATGTAGGGATTTAGTACTAAAAACAACGATGAGTTTGTGCATACATGTATTCATAAATTAATCATGGATAAAGAATCCTGTATGTTTAAATATCCTATGTATTGAAAACTGCCCTGTAGGCTCCATGTCGCTGATTGCATTCGGGGTCGCATGTTCATCGAAGGCAACGCCTTCCCTTCTTTTTCCTGCCTCAGCTCCTCTGGAAGTGCCTGGCCCAGGCCAGTACTCTTCTCAGAGGCAGTTCTGCCTCAGTCTGCCCTTCGCCGACCCTGACCTCCTCCTCCTCCTCCTCCTCCTCCTCCTCCTCCTCCTGCAGACTGACCCCCACTGGCAGGCGAATGCTCTCGAGGCCGCGGCGCCAGGGCGCGACGACCCGCAGAGTGCGCCGCGCCTCCCGGCGCGAGGGCGCTGGGCGCGCGGAGGCGCTGCGGCGCCCGTGGGCCGCAGACGGCGCACGAGAGCTGCGCCTTGCGCGGCAGCGCCTCGCCGGCGTGCCGCGCCGAGCCTCGCCGCGCGAGGCTCGGCTGCCGATGCCGACGGCGCGCGACGGCTGCGCCTTGCGCGGCGGCGCCTCACGCGAGTGCCGCGCGGAGTGCCGCGCGCGAGCCTCGCCGCGCGAGGCTCGGCGGCCGATGGCCGCAGACGGCGCGCGGTGGCCGTGCCCGGCGCGGCCGCCCAGTCCGCCGACCCTGAGATCCCGGCGTCTCAGTTTGGCGAGCCGGGCGTTTTCGCCCTTTTTGCGGCCCTTTGGGACCCCCACAGAGCGGCCCGGCTCGAGAAGTGACGCAGAAAGATGTGATCTATAGGGCTCCAGGCGTGATTCCATGGCAGTTTGGCAGCAGGGGCCGGGGTCGAATCGCAGAAGCAAGTCGTGGCGGAACGCCGCTAGAAAGGGGCTCGGCCGCTCTTTCGGACTTCGTAGACTCACTTGGAGAAAAAGGGGCTTCGCTCCTTCTTTATCGTTCCTCGGGCCAGGCCGGAGATTGCACGATAGTGCAGTCTTTGTTGCTACGTCGGATCTCGAGAGGAGTGCGGCGCCTGCCTCCGCCGCCCGGCTCCGCGCGCCTCCAGGGGGACATCTCCGCAGTCTCCGTGGTCCGGTACTCCGACGTGGTCCCCAGGACAGGGCGGCAGGGGGGGTGTCGCGTCGGGTGCCAGGAGGAGGAGGAGGAGGAGGAGGAGGAGGAGGAGGAGGAGGAGGAGGAGGAGGACGGGGAGGAGGAGGAGGAGGAGGAGGAGGAGGAGGAGGAGGAGGAGACCTCTTCCTGCTTCTCCTCCTCTTTCTTTCAGCCTGTGTCTGCTGGTACCCCCATTTGACCGTTTACCGGTACCGCCGGTGACCACTGGAGCGGTGCTCCAGGGGTCACCTGGCACTAGTTTGATCAACCCCCCAGGGCCGACTGGGGGGGAAGGCTGCACCTGATCGGATCCCAAGCCATTAGGAACCAGGAACCAAAGGAGGATGAGGAGATCGAGGAGGGGGGGGAAGGACAGCGGCGGACGCAGTTCAGCCACGCGCAGAGGGGGGTGGGGGGAGGGGGGAGTGCTTCTTCGAAGCGATGCGTCATTGGGTAATCCCGCTAGCGAGCGTGATTTTGACCTCCTGATTGCACCTCGGAAGTTACGATTGTTGTCATGGTTTCAGCCCGTCGTACTTTTTTAATGCTTGGTTCGCCTCTGCCCGATTTCGAAGTTGTACGAAGCACCTGTTGCCTATTTGCCATGCCGCTTTAGCAGGCGACGACCTCTTGCACGCGTTTGAATTTCGTATGGTTGATCCTCGCTTCTTCCTCGCCTTCCTCTTGCTTCCTTGCCTTCTCCGATGGTCGAATCTACGCTTTTCCATGCTTGTTGCTGTTTCCCGCAGACCAACTGATCTCCGCCATCGGCTGGCTTGATCTAGTCTGCAGTGTCAACAAGTCCATTCAAGCGTGCAAGATTCCCAGGGGAGATCAGCTTCAACGACCAACGTCTGGGCAGCTACAAGAAGCAGTCTCAGGCAGGCTTTCATTGCGAGGAGAAGTCGCTCCAGAGCGTCCCTGAGCGCTCTAAAATTGCCACGGCGCCCGAGACATCCTCCAGACTCGCTGGCGCCCAGAGATGCGCGATTTACCCAGGTCACCCGCGGGTGCGCGAAGGTGATCGCGCTTCTCGCGTCGCGGCCTGGGCCAGAGCGGCTTGTTGCCTTCTCCCAAGGCGGCGGCGCGAGGGCGTGGGGGCGCGGAGATGGCCTCCCATCGCACACCGTAGGGCGCGATTCGCGGAGCTGGATGGCTTCGATTTTTCCTCACCCAGGTGTATCCCCATCCCCTGAGATCCGAGGCTGCGAACAAAAGTTGAGACATCGCGGAAAATCACGGCCGGAGCCCTGGACCCCATCTTCCTGCTGCTCTCATCGAGCCTGATCGATCAGTGATGGCCCAGGGCCCGAAACTGGGCGAAAACGCCTGGTGCGAAAAAGTTGCAACGCCTATCGATGAATTCATCTTCATCCGGATGTATCCCGATGAATCCCTTTCAATATGGCTTAATCCAGCTGGATCTGGCTTAATCCCGTGTCATCCTGGGCTTAATCTGGCCTGATCCGTCTCGGTGGCTCCTTCATCGGGCTGGAGAGCCCGTAGCAGTTCTCCCAGGAGGTGCCTCCTCATTTTTTGGGTCGCCCCTGGGGCGATGGCAGGCTCGTCCGTTGGTTTTCGGGCCACTACGGTCTCCAGCGGCCGTCCAGAACGATCCGGACATCCCCAGGACGCTCTCGGCGAGGCGCAGCCGCTGGAAAGCATCCCGGGGCTGGGAAACGGCCCTCGAACCTCGAACGACAGCGCCTCCGCCGTGCCGTCGGCGTCGCGGCCTTGGAGGACCGACCAGGAGGAGATGTCGCACAGCGTCTGCTTCGCCTTCTGCCGCGGCGTGCCGGACTGCCTCCCCCGGCCCACGCGCGCGCCAGCCAGCACTGGGCGCGCGGCTCTGCACAGTCTGGGGCAGCGCTCGGGTTGCTGCCGAGTTCTCCGACGATCCCGTCGTGAAAACGTCACGACGGACGGTTTGTGATCGCCGATCTCCCAGACAGCACGGCTTTCGATCGTCATCCCCTCGTGGTGGAAACGTCGCGGACGGACGTCCCTGCCCAGATCTCCGACCTTGTGGCCGTGTCAGTCGCAGAAGGAACAGCTGCACAGACGCAAACCGTCGGAGCTCCGCGCTGCTTTCGTACATCTGCGCCGGACCCCCCCGCGCGCTTCGCGCGCCAGGGAGGGGACGTCAGCGCAGATCTGGGGACTCGGGCAGCGTTTGTGCTGCTGCCCAGGCCTCCGACGATCCCTCGCAACCCCTCGTTGTGAAAGATATCGTTAATGGAGGATGACGATTAATACATGACAGGGGGTCGTGTTCACGCGGCGGCGCCCGGGATGACGATTAGAAAAACCGGCCGCGGGCCGGAGAACTATTTTTTAAATAGTTCTCCTCCAGTCAGAAAATTGTGCAGAAACAGCAGAAAACTATTTTTCTAATCGTTCTCTCCTATTTGTTATTAATCGTCATCCCGCATTACGGAAGGTTCTTGCTAATGCTCGGTCTCTGGGGGGCCCTCACGCGGCGTCACCCCAGCATACTTATACTATATGTGGTTCGTCCCCCCAGGGGCGACGCGCGCACCGAGAAATCTTATAGTGTATGCGTCGTGGCGGGCGCTTTCTGGCCACACCGCTCGGGAAACGATATACTACAAGATGGGTATACTATATGTTCGGGTCGGACGCGCGCCTCCAAGGAGGACATATAGTATTAGTATGCCTCTGTGCACTCACGGGCCCCAGAACCGTCAGAAAACGACTCAGGATGAAAAAAAAGCGCTCGGCACGCGGCTTTGCACCATCCCTGGGCAGCGCTTGTGCTGCTGCACAGATCTCCAACGATGTGATTATTTCAATCCAGGTTCGGAGGGCGCCAACTACCCTGCCATCCGGGCGTTGCAATTTTTCATTACGGGGTGCTTCCACCTGGTTTCGGGCCCCGGGGCCATCACAGCTCGATCCGGCTCGAAAAATGCCGCGGAAAGATGAGGTGTAGCTTTGGCCAGGATCGGTTTGTGTACATACAGTCGACCATGATAGTAAGGATGGGGCAGCTTTCCAAGGCTACCCTTGCATCCTTGCCCCTTCGGTATTCGGCATCCTTCGGCATTCTGCTGCGCTCCGCACGGAAAATGTCAGCATGGCGTTCAAAGGCCCTTGTGTCCTTACCGCGCCTCCTTACTATCCTGTCGGGGATGGGCAGACCTCCTACCCTGACACGTCGATTGAGGAATTGGCCGTTTTCGGTTCGCGAGAGGGCGTCGCGGCCGTCATTTCTGCGGGTCCAGGTCCGTCGGTGTCGGTCCCAGGTCGTTTGCACTAAGGGGAGGTCTACTAAAGGGAGGTCTGTCCACCGCCTATCCTGGTCGAGTGTAGTCGGCGTCCTCCCGCTGGCGGCCGCTCTTCCACCTCAGGGCTTCTGGGGGCCGCTCTCGGGCCCCAGGGCCATCACGCGTGGACTCGGCGCGAAGCATCGTACAGTCGGGGCGCGAAACAGGGAACCCTTTTGGTTGGGGAGGGGCTCCGCGTTCCTGAAGTGTTTCGCAGCTTGCCTCAGGTGTTCCTTTCTGTTGTCGATCGGAAGTCGAAGTTTAACTTATGGAAAAAAGGGGCCTCGTTCCTTATTTAGGGTTCCTTGGGTCAGCGCCCCGACTGTACAGGGATTGCAGCCATCGCGCATGGGACAAGTTACATCGTAGGATGTCTGGGTGCGCGGTTCTTGCCTGTGCCATAGACAGCTACAACATTACTGCCCCTACACTCGGACCGAGGTCTCGTGCTCTTTCGGGGCTCAAGATCGAGACGGTGGTCAACGCAAACGGGGGTCAGCCAGAGCGCCGGATCGTGCAGGATCCTGCAGGGTCAGGGGTGCGCTGACCTGGGTTTGAGCGCAAGATCTTGCAGGATCCTGCAGGATGTTGCAGGATCCTGCAGCGCCTGACTGACCCGCGTCTGGATTGACACAGGTCAGTAGATCCCCCGATTCTTGAAGGATGTTCTGCCGTCCCAGGTCCGATTGTACAGTGGAGACCCATGCCAAGAAGGACCCTGCTTGCCCTCAGGATGCCCCCGGCTTCTTGGGTTTCGATGCTTCTGCCATGGACAGCGTGACGCTCCCAAACCAAGCAAGTCGATAGACGTCCTGGGGCCTCGGGGTTGGGCCTCTTGTGGAAGGTCTCCTGTGGTCGGGCTCCTGCTCTACAGTCGGGGCCCTGAAGAAGGAACCCTTTTTGTTGGGGAGGGACTAGGCGTTCCTTAAGTGTTTCACAGCTTGCCTCAGGTTTTCCTCATGTTTTCGATCGGAAATCGAAGTTTAACTTATGGAAAATAGGGGCCTCGTTCCTTATTTTGGGTTCCTTAGGTCAAGGCCCCGACTGGTCGCGAGACGCCTCAGGAAAAGGGCCCCGCGCTCGGCGCACCGAGCCGTCGGCGCAGGGCGGCGGCAGCACCGCACGGCGGCGGCTCTGCGCGGGCGGCGGCCCAGCGGAGGCACGAGCGGGGGCGCCGGCAGCCTCGGAGCCCTGGGCCTCCGGGGCTGGCCGCCGGTGCCACAGAGATTTTCGGCAACGCGCAGAGGGGGGTAGGGGGAGGGGGGAAGGCTTCTTAGAAGCACCCCTGCTTCTTAGAAGGCGCGGGCCTTCTCCATAGACGTAAGGCCGAGGCCTTCTAAGAAGCAGGGTGCTTCTAAGAAGCCTTCCCGCCTCCCCCTACCCCCTTTTGCGCGCCGCCAAGACTTGGTGTCGCTCGGCCGCGTGCGTTGTCTGCTCGGCGAGGGCCATCGGGGAGGCGCCAACTGGCCGCATGGCAGACATCGGCGGCGAAAGCCGAACCCTATGCCCTCGCCCGTCCACGGTTCAGGCAGCTCCATGGCCGGCAAGGGGGTGGGGTTCGGAAGTCGCCGAGCGCGCGACGACATTCGGCCCTTGCCCCCTCCTCCCCTCGACTCGGGGGAATCGATGGCTGGCGGGGGCAGGGCTCGGATGTCGCCCCCCAGGACAGTCCGGTGGGGCTCGCCCAGGCTTTGCACGCCGTCTGGCCGCGGGGTTGTGCCGTCGTCGGGCCCCGGCCTGCGCCGCCCCCCGCGTCGGGTCTCCGGTGGTCGCCCACGGGGCCTCCTCTAGCGTCGTGGCTGCCCCCCGCGCGCGGGCTCTCTGGCCAGGCTTGCCCGCGAGGTGCCGCCCGTCGGGTCGGCCCGCGTGCGGGCCCTCTGGTGATCGCCCACGGGCTGACCGCCGGCATGGTCTTGGCCACCGTGGCTCGGCCCTGCTCGCCGCTGTCGTTTTGATTTTAATTATCCGTATGATTAAAATGATCATCATTATTATAACTACTAGTGTGTTTATGTATGTCTGAATTTTGTCATGTGCTTATGTATGTATGGAGTTATATGTGCATCGGTTTAGTAGTCATATTCGTTGTTAGCATCATTATTATAATTCGCATTGCTATCTTTAGTAGCACTACTAGTATCATTGTCATTATTAGTGTGATTGTTGTTGCTGCTGTTGTTGGTGCCGCTTTGGTGTTTGTTGCTGTTGTTGTTGCTGTTGTTGCTGTTGCTGTTGCTGTTGTTGTTCTTGCTGTTAGTGTTAACGGCATTGTCTATCTTAGTATCGTTGCTAGTATTATGCTAGTAATGCTATTATTATAACTTCTCGGAAGGACCCGCGTGGTCGCCTAAGCAGCACCCTTCGAACTCTTTGGGGCCCACTTGCCCCCCAAAAAAAAGAAACACCAGGCGCCGCTCGAAGAATCGTTGGCGGACCTCCTCCTGCTCCCGACGGCGCCCACCACGGGAGGAGGCGACCCAGCAGCACGGCGCCCCAGAGGCGGGGAGCCACAGCTCCAGCACTGGTGGGCCTCTGCCCCTCTGCTACCCGCGCGCGCCTGCCGTGCCATCGAGAAGGGCCGCCCGCGGGGACGCGAAGATGGCCGCGCGTCGCGCACCGCGGCCCGAGCCGGAGGAGCACCCCTGCGGGGCGCCTGGGCGAGGGCGCGAAGGTACAGTCGGGGCGCTGAAGAAGAAACCCTTTTCGTTGGGGAGGGGCTCCGTGTTCCTTGATTGTTTCACAGCTTGCCCTAGGTTTTCCTCAGGTTTTTGATGGGAAATCGAACCTTCACTGATGGGAAAAAGGGGCCTCGTTCCTTATTTAGGGTTCCTTAGGTCAACGTCCCGACTGTAGCCGCGCATCGCGGGGCGCGATGTGCGAAGTCGGGCGACCTGGGGCCTGGCTGGCTATGATTAGATGGTCGACCCTGCAGGATCAGAGGTACACGGTGTCCTGGCCCATCGCGAGTCCAGTGCCCTCTCCGTGTCTGGGGCACGTGCCTGGCCGTTTTCGGAAAAGAGAGCTGGGTCCTCCCAGGTGTCTTCCGCAGTCAGTCCCGACCGAACCAGTACTGATGCCCATTCTTCGTCATACAGCTCCAGCCTCGCCCTCGGCTAGGCGTAAGCCTTCGCCAGAGTGACCTTTGGTGCGGGCGCACAGGGGTCCCGCTAGCACTGGCTGGCGCGCTTGGATTCCTTGGATTTGACACCTGTAGCGGCCCCGGTCACTCTTGCCCAGGATCATGCTTGTGTGCAGCTGACGCCCGCTCCCGAGGACATGGCGTTCTTCGGCATCAAGAACGGCAGGGACTGCTACTGCGCGCCGTTCTACAAGGACTTGCGCACCCTCCCATGCGGAGAGCGGGCGGGCGTGCTTCGGAGACATGCGCTCGGCGCCGATCGCGCGGGCGCTGAGCGCAGTGGCGCTGACCTTGCACGGCTGGCGGAGGTGCCCTGCCCGGCGTGTGGGCGCGGGGAAGCGTGCGCGCGCGCTTGCTGGGCGCGTCCTGCTTGGACCCATGCGCGGGCGTGCGGCGCGGAGTGCTGAGCTCCACGCCTCTACCAGGAGCGCTGAGCTCATGGATCGGGGCCATGGACCCAGGGTTGAGTCGGACATGCCCCCCTACAGGAGGAAAAATCAAACATAGTTTTTGAAGAAATCGTTCCGGGAGGATTGTTCAGCTATTTTTGGCCAGTTTGGCTTTTTGGGGGCCACGTTTTCACTTTTCTTCACAATCCGCCTGTAGTAGGACATGCCCGACCTAAATCCAGGGCCGCCCCGCGTGGCCCACGGGGCCATCGGATGGGCATCCCGCGGGCAGACTTGACCACCTGCGCGTTCGGCCCCGCAGGGGCGGCGCGCGCGCTCCGAGAGCCTGCACTTGGAGCGGCTCGGGGGCGGGCGCTTGCTGGCCCTGCCGCCCGGGTAAGGACCTGCGGCAAGTCCTTCGTGCCACAGTGCGGATAGGACGCCTCCTCCTCCTCCTCCTCTTCCTCCTCCTCCTCCTCCTCCTCCTCCTCCTCCTCCTCCTCCTCCTCCTCCTCCTCCTCCCCCTCCTCCCCCTCCTCCGCCTCCGTAGCCATTTTGGCTCAAGCCATTTTGGCTCAAGGTTTTGGTTTCCCCTGGGAACAAAGTGGATACCGCTAGTCCGCGGCCAGCTTTCATCCTTCGCCTGGTTCGCCCCAGGCAGAGCGCCGTGCGGTCCGCCCCGCACGGCCCAGCCCCACCACGGCCCGCTTGTCTTGCCTCGCGTGGTTTCTCGTGTACGTGCTCGACCTGCCCATCCGCCCGTCGGCATGGCACCCAGGTCACGCAGTACGGAGGCAGGCCCATGGTATTGCAAATGGTGCAAGCATGAGCCCACTAGTACGAGCTGGATCAACCGTGGTGATCAGAAGTGGTGTGGCAAGTGTGGCATCCCGAAAGGCTCCGCGTTCCATGGGGTGCCCCCACCCAAGGTCCCAGTGCAGCGTTCTCATGACTTGGCCACGAAGCGTGAGAAGCTCCTCACGAAGCAGTTGGAAGAGTTACAGCAGCGCATGCAGAAGTTGGTTGGCAGTCATAATGGTACGGAGTTGGAGTCCAAGGAGCCCGCTATTCCTCCCTGGGCTAAAGGCACTGCAGCTGCTGTCAAACGTGAGCGCCTCACCAAGCTTGGAAGTCTGCTCAAGTTCCTGTCGGGGCCTGAGGACGCCGAGCAGCGTGCGGTGTATGAAGCCGAGAAGCAGCGCCTGCTGGCCGAGCTGCAGGCCGACAAACCGCTGGAGGCCAATCTGCAGGGGCTCACCAGTCAGCTCAAGACCGCTCGCACGAAGTTGTCCAACATCGCTGTCAAAAAGGAGGCTGCTCGTTCGACTCTGGAGAAGGCCAAGCAGGCCCTTGCGCAGGTCGAGCAGGACGAGCAGGACGCTAACAAACACATCGTGGAGCTTGAGGAGAGGTTGCGCCATGTGGTTGGTCCCGCTGTGCAGTTCGATGATAAGTCACCCTCCCTGTCCACCTTCTTGCCAGGCATGGAGGCCACGGTCGAGCAGTTCGATGCCGTGGTCCGCGCGCTGGGCGGGTCGGAGCGGTTCAGCACCGACCTCATCGCCATGCGCGCGCTGGTGCAGAAGCTCAAGGAAGCCCCAGAGGTCACAGCTGCACCTGAACCGCCTCAACCTGAGGCTCACTCCGCTCCTCCTGAGGCTCGAGAATCCATGGATATCGACGATGATGAGGATCAGGATCGTGCTAATGCTCACGTCGATGGCCTGGACGGTCGCACATGCCGTGAACATCTCAAAGAATGTGGCATTGATGTCGACGTGGGCGGGGATGATGACGAGCTTGACGAGTCCAAGGTGCGTGAGCTTCGTGACAAGCTCAAGCGTCATTTGGCCCAAGTTCAATCGCTTACCAAGAAGTTCAAGACCAGTGGTGCGACCGCTGCGTAATGTGATCGGGCGGCTAGCTGTGGTTTTGTTCTGTCTATGCTATTATCCTGTTGCAATGACGACGCCTACTGCCCAAGATGAGCTGACCTCAGCTCCCAGACGTTCTCTCATGGACGATCCTGACGTTGATCCCTTTCATTTTGATGAAGCATCTGACAGTCAGCCAGTTCTGCCTGACACATGCGTTCAGGTTGCCCCTACTGCGTCTTCTGCAAGGGCAGCCACTGCGACTGCGGGTGCTAAGTCATCATCTCGGTCGCTACACTCACCTGTCACCAGGTGGCAGGCAGAGAGCGCCACATGTGCGCCGATTGCTTTGACGATTTCGGCCTCTTGCTCGACGAGGGTGGATGGCTCTACTGCTGGTTGCTCCCATGGCATGCATCCTTTAGACCCTGGCAGCACGCACTGCTCACCACGCTCGCCCGATGGGCATCGCGTGGCAGAGGGCACCGACTGTCCAGGGGTTCGTCGACCTGATGTCAAGGTTGCTGGCCAGGTGAAGGGCAAAAGTGACTCACATATTGTGACGCTCAACTCGAGCTCGCTGGGTCCACTGTGCGACTACCTGGTGGACAGCACTGCTCATGTGGTGCTGGCGCAAGAGCACCATGTTCCTGATGCCAAGCTTGGCGAGCGTCAGTCACAAGTTGAAGATACTGGCTGGAGAGGGCTCTGGGGCCCTGCTGTGCCTAATCAGAATGGAGGGCCTGGCACTACAGGCGGAGTTGCAGTATTGGTCAGGTCACATATTCCTATCAAGGCGCCCCCTGGCTGCGCTAGTCATGTACTTGTTCCTGGCAGGCTTGTGGCTGCGCACGTCATGTCCTTTCTGCCTGGAGGGGTTGTCTTCCTGTCGGCTTATTTCAAGGACGGCGAAGGGTACGGACCGTGCAACGCCGAGCTGGTGTGGGAGATCATCGAGTACCTGTCAGTGCTCAACGGCATGCAGATCCCGTGGGTCATCGGCGCCGATTTCAACATGCCGCTCACCGCCCTGGACCAGTCCGACTGGATCGCGGCGGCTGGCGGACTGGCTTTCGTTTCTGAGGCGCCCACCTGCAGGCAGGTTTCACCTGGCACGCACATCGATTATTTCATTTGTAGCAGCTGGCTGGCGCCAAAGCTCAACCCCCGCACGTGTGTGTTGGAGGCTGCCACCACCTACCCTCACCTCCCTGTCCAGCTTACGTTGAGGGCTCGGGAGGCGCCTGTTTGGGCTCGAGTGGCCAAGGTCCCGAAAGCTTTCCCGTCGACCCCTCCCATTGGCTGCGCTAGACCTCCTATATACCCGTGGCACGCGGTTTTGTCGACCGCTGCCCCGCAAGTGGACTCTGTAGCCAAAGTTGCTGATTTTTGGGATCTCGTCCTCGAAGGGGTGGAAAGAGAGTTGGCCGCCAGGTGGGACCGTGTTGGCTTAGCCGCCGAGGCCTACGTTGGCCGCAGTGGGCCTCTTGAGGTCCACTTCAAAAAGCTTGTCTGGACTCCCCCCAGAAGGAGGACTTATAAGGATCCGCAGGCACGTGCCTGGGCTGTCGCTCTTGGGTGGGCCAAACACTTAGGCAAGGCCAGAGAACATCTCAGTGAGCAAATTAGGCTTTTGCAAGAAAACGATGCTCTGTGTTCTGCTGCGCCTCTGCAATTTCGCAAGCTTCTTTCGGCTTTTGAGGAGTTTGATCGTTTCATGGCCAACATCGCCCGCTGCAAAAAAGTCCTAGGCTGCCTTGATTCTGATGTGCGTGATTTCTTCAATGGCGGCTTCGCCGTCCTCGCACGTCCTGATGTGGCCAGCATGCTCACTAGTATTTACATTCGTGCGAAGGCAGCAATCGCTCGTGCGGAGAATGCGGCGTCCCAGGCTTGGAGGCAATGGGCTAGGGACGCTTTCTCTGCTGGCGCTTCGAAGGCTCACAGGTTCTCAAAAGTGAAGGCCATCCAAGAGGTTTTAAGCAACCAGGCGCGTGAGGCTCCCCACCAGCAGGCCGATGCTGAACTTGTTCCCTGGAAGGAGGTTTGGTTGTCCCACGGTTGTTCCGTCCTTGAGTTTCCTCGAGGGTCCACCAGCTGGCCCATGCTGCCGCCCATCACGGCCGCTCAGGTGGAGGATGCTGTTCACACTTACCCCATTCGCACTGCTGGAGGCATGATGGGTATTCATCCGAGAGCCTTAATACACTTGCCTAGACAGGCCTTCTCGGCGATTGCTGAACTCTTTAACCTGTGCGAGTTGCACCTAGCCTGGCCTAGAGAGCGTGTTTGTAACGAGATGTGTCGCCTTGCCAAACCAGATGGTGGGACTCGACTGATCGCTCTCGTCTCTCTGCTGTGCCGTGTCTGGGGCAAAGTTCGCAAGCCCATCACCTTTGACTGGCAAGAGCGTAATGACTGCCACGCTGTTTGGGGGACTCGTCGGGGGCACAGCTCCTCAGACAGTGCTTTTGCCCACAACATTGCTGCCGAGATGGCTGCGCTAGTCGGTGATATTTCAATTTCTGTCCTCCTAGACATGATCAAATGCTTCGAAATGGTTCACTCGGAGCAGCTGTTGAAAGAGGCTGAAGCGTTGCACTTTCCAATGCGGCTAGCTTGGATGTTGGTGGATCTGTACAGGCAGCCACGGCGTCTTCGAGCTTTCGGCAGCCTGTCGGTGCAGTTCTGTTCGCATCAAGGCATCCTTGCTGGGTGCAATCATGCGACAGGCATGCTTTTCCTTCTCACGCTGCGTGCTGTGCGTAGGCTCAATGACATTTCGCCCTGTATAACACCGAGAGCCCTAGTCGACGACATCTCGATTCAGCTCGTCACTTCGGATCCTCGTGATGTGCGTTTCCTGGAGCGTGCTGTGAAAGTGTTCACCGAAGATGCCAAGGTCCTCGGGCTCCACTCCCATGTCAAAAA